TGAAGAAAGGTGAGCAATTCTAAATGTAGCTGCCCAATAAATTGCAAGTTCTACTAAGAACCTACCACGTGAATATGTCATTTGCATATTTACATTTAGAGAAAGCCTGGAGTGTGAAGTGGCCCAGTTGAGGGATCGATGTGAAGTCTTGATGAGTATCAACGAGAGTTTGCGTTCCCACTTAGTGGAAGCGAAGAAGACCCATATTATCTGTCGGTAGATAGTAGCCCATCTGAGTAGGAAAAATTTTCTTTCTATCACTGAAACAGTCTTTTATCCACAATACCAAGACAATACGGTGTACCAGACGGAGCCTCGTGGGGACGATGACGATCCATCCGGCCAGCGAAATCATCCTACCGTGCGCTGAGATACACACACGGATACCCTTGTCCTGTTAAGCCCAGCGGTCGAGGCGATTACCAAGGTGTGGCTGCTGGGAAGAGCCTAGCTTCGGGGAGACAAGGATGAGAGTTGGGTGCCGGCCACTGGACTCTAGGCGTAGTCTACACCTGCAAGAAGGTGAGCGACCTACTACGTCCGTCATGTAAACCGTCCGCTGTACACCCTTACACATCAAATGCCCTCTATACCACTATTGAAAGCTTCGCGCAAAAATGCATCCTTCCAATATATAATGGCATTTGTAAAGGAAAAATGTCGGATTACAGTGAGAAGATTCTGTCAAAATATATGTCTTCCACAAACACCAGTTGCTGTTCAGAGGACTCCTGCCAGTCACAGAGGTTCCCTAATTGCCGTGTAAAACTGCAGCGACAAGGCCATCTTATCAATTGATAGCCGCATATGAGATATCAGATTTCGAGTTTAAAAGACTACTTAAGTATGAGTTTAATACTAATAGCCGTGTAGCATAATCTTGTGATATTTCAGTTGCTACAGGGCGCTGGAATCTGAATGAGGTTCCTCCTGGCCATCCGCGAAACTCCATTCGGTAGAAAATGACTACCAGCTTTGTACGGCCTTCAAATGATTTTCGATATCCGTACAAATGTAAACGTACTTCGTAGAAACTAGCACAAAAGTGTTCTTCTTTCTTCCCATTTGGTAGCTAATCACGTCGTTCATAGATTGTCCACTTGAGCAAGGGCTATTTTCAGTTCTTAACGAGGTTTCTGACTATGGGCGTCAGTTTTGCGGGCGACCAGCATCCTCGAGTGATCAAAATGTCTTGAAATTGCGCAGTACGACAAGTAACATAAAATACTACATGATTAATTTTTCATTCGAAAATACATTTCAGAATATCACCAAAATTCAATGAGATAGCCAAGCTACTTCATATCGTCTCGCTGTTCGCGAGTGCTCGCATCACTTACATACTTATCCTCCAGTATATTCTTCCGCCAGCGGACGCCACCGTGAGTGACGTCTTAGGCTATTGATAGCATGGATGAGAGGGGCGAGCAAGAAAGGCAGGGACAAATGGATAACTCGGATGGTCCACCTCCCAGTTTCAGTCCCCGTTCTTAGAACAATCGGCAAACCCCGTCGTATCTAACGCAATCGCATCTTGGTATTAATTACCTTGACAGATGTCGCGCCCATACCACCGTTGATGCACTTGGCCGAAGTTCAGGATTCACATAATAGCCGGCGTCGGAAAGGGGATGGAAGCCTTTGCAAGAGCAGAGTGGGGGCTGAATGTAGGATAAAAGGCCTCCACTGTCACTCGTTCATAGTTGTTAAGTATTCCTAATTTTCATAGAAATGCACAAGAAATAAACGGTCACAATCTTGGAGACGCTGTCGGAAATACATGCATACCCCGATGGATATCAGTCGTAAGTAGAACAGTTAGCCATGCAAGAGTCTATTCAAATCAGCAAAATTGTCGTATAAAAATCAGATCAAACGTGATAATTAGAAAAATAGTCCTTAAATCACTGTGGGGGGAGGCAGGGAGCGGGAGGAGTATTAGAAGTTGAAATCACAGTTAGGATTATCACCAATTGAAAACTGGGGGCCTTAGAATCAGGGTTGTCTTAGAGAGGGGACCTCCGCTGTGTCTTGCTACCGCTATCTTCGCAAGGCATCCCAGTCATCAATTCATCCTGTCGAAAACAAAAAAGAACAAAAGATAGCCAACGGGATTAATCTTTTAAATACCTACGGAGATTTTGATTAATATTGTCTGTCTAAACCACAAAGCAGCACTAGCTGAGTATTTTGGACGCTGCCTCAGCTTAATCAAGGGTGAGGGTCAACAGAATACTCCATGCGCTGTTCAGCGCATTACACCGAGCTCACTTTCCCTCGGTTGACTGCTCTCGTGATGACATCCACGACTCTGACGTTAGTCTGCGACAGCCCAATGACAGGAATGGGCAGCAGCGGTTTCATCGTCGTCGTCTCTAACATAATTTTAATTTTTTGCTATTTATTCTTGATAATGTCTCAGATGGCGAATGGCTAAAATATTCAAAGGAAAGGACTCACAATTGTTACAGGAAGGCCTGTTCAGAGACGGGGTCTCAGTCTGTTCTTCGTCGATAAATCTGCACCAATTTGGCCTTTCCTTGGCCTACGAGGCTTGCACGCTGGCACGTCTTGTTGACCGTCCGGCACTACCCTCGCCCCGTATCCTGCTTGCTCGTGGCTTGGCACGAAACTGAAACTTTTCATGAACAATCATGAAAACATTTCAGGCAAGAGAAAATAAATTGTCGGAAGTATGTCAAGCACTATGACAAACAGTCGACCCCATTATTCTAGCCCTTCATGATGTGTACCAATGCATCGATCTATTCTGTTTCTCGCGAAACTGGCACTTTACATCTGCTTGACATTCAAGTATGTTGCTCTAGACAATTCTCCGAACATCCACATCTGTTGTACATGGCTTGTCTGCCTACAACTATTTTTGTGCTATCGAGAATGTCGCAGATAAGGCACTTTTGCACCGGGCAGATGCTTCAAGGCCACAATACGCGTGACTGTGTAGACTGATATCTTCAGCATGTGAGTCTAGCGTATCCTTCACTTGACAACTGACAAATATTTACCAGCGCCTAAAAATGAGCTACGTTCCCACTCCACAGACTCCGTCTTCTGTCGACAGGGTGGGGGTTTATGTATCTTTCGGTCAACAAAGAAGATCGGAGCAGTGGCCCAAGCCGTCCAGACTGATGTCACAATCAGTCTGGCGTAGCTTCAACTTCACCTGTCGTCCACGCCTGCTCACTATAGGTGTAAGTTGCTTAACTAACAGCAATTCCACGTAGCGCTGCATTTTTCCATCTCAGAAGGCGACAGATCATGCGGATATGCCAAACAGCGAAAATTATCAAACAAAATGGAAAGGCTTCATTTATCTGTGCTCAGATGGGCTACTATCTACCGACAGATAATATGGGTCTTCTTCGCTTCCACTAAGTCGGAACGCAAACTCTCGTTGATACTCATCAAGACTTTACATCGATCCCTCAACTGGGCCACTTCACACTCCAGGCTTTCTCTAA